TTCAGGGGCTCTGGAGAACATCTTGACTCCCTCTTCTTTGGGGCAGCTCCTGAGATACTGGAAGACTGCTATTATGTCCCCCCTTGTCCTTCTCTTCATTAAACTAGACATCCCCAATTCCAGAAACCGTTTCTTATATGTTTTAGCCTCTAGTTCCCTAATCACCTTTGTTGCTCTTCTCTGTGCACTGTACTCTTGATTTTCTCCCTCTGTTAATGCAACAGTTCCTGTTTTTTTGGACCATTGGCTGCATTTTGGGAATAAATGGAGGAAGGGGGTGAGCAGGAGGTAGGTTTGGACAGGGTCACTTGCTGGCCAGCCTCACCCCTGCCAGGCGAGTCCATTCTCTGAGCATACGTGGATTCGGGTCCAGGTGCAGGTGCCAGCAGCTGGCCATCTGCTACGCACCGCTCTTCTTTACGGGACTCGGATCCTTGGCCGTGAGCCAGCGCTCACTCTGCCAAATGAAGGATCTAATTAAACCGAAGTGACACCGCATGAAAGGAGGGCTCTGGGTGGATTAATGCTCACACGGAAATTCACACGCGAATCGCCGTGGCGCCCCGTGCTGCCCTGCAAGTCTCGCCAGACTGAAGATGGTCAGGGAATTGTTTTTATGGGTTTAAACCAGGAGTTGCTGGCCCTCAAAAGATGGGCTCCAGCAATCAGCCTCGGCACAAGATTGATGCTCCCTCTTGGGTTTGGGTGGAAGGAGCCCCAGAAGTTACTTTTCTGGAAAATCTAATAAAGGAGAATATTTGTGCTCAGGGCTGAACCCTAACCCTAACTCTAACCCTTTCTGGAGTCTCCACATCTTTTTGGTATCGTGGTGACCAGAACTGGATGCCAGATCCCAAGGTGGCCTCATTAGTGCAGGGTAGAGTAATATACATAAGTGGTTGTCCATTAGGACCCCTAGATCAGTAAAACCAATGAGAGATAAAAGATAAAGATCAAAGGGGCTAAGCATGGAGAAAGGTCTTCTTTTGTAGCTCAGTTGTTTGGCTCTTGATGTTTTGAGTTTGGATGCTCTCCTGCGGATGGTTCGTTCTTAGGCCGTCATCAGGCACCGATAAAGTGACCCAGCTGATAATAAAATGTCTGCATGTTTTGGGCACACCGAGGGCCTAGCAGCACTTCAGGAGCCCCCCTAAGGAAAGTGAGATTTGAAGCGGGAGTCTACCGCTCTTCACCACAGCCTTCCTCTCCCCACCTGACCCCCATCGGTCCCCACCTGCCAAATGCAGAACTGTCCCTTCCCTGGTTTGAAAGTTTAATGACAGGTGTCCTGTTTCCGCTGTCTGGGGACTTCTGGTGACATCTTGTGAGGTTCGCTTACAGATCAAGACACACCAATTCCAATTACTAGCCCGGGCTGATCCTCGCCGGGCTGATTGAATTGCAATTTAGCTGATGGCGCTTTCCCAATGTCGGTTTGGCACACCACCTGGCCACGGAGCACTTAGTCTTAAGGGACTCCTTTTTGTGTGTGTGTCGCTGAAAACATGGAGCTAAAACCCAAAGGGAGAAGCGCTGGATTGGGGGGAGGGAATCCTACCTGCTATCCTAACTCTGTTAGGATCTGAAACTCTGGAGATGATGTTGGATCTCAAGGAGCCCAATTCATGAAAAGGTCCTTCAAGGGAGTCACCGGAGTGTCACAAGGATTGCGTTGCTGAGCCGATAAAACTGCCCCTTCTCACTGTCCCTCTTTCCTCAAGCAGAGACACCCTCAAATCCTGGGAAACACCTTACCTGGCATCCTGAAGAATCCCAGGGCGATCCCAAGAAGCAGGAGGGCGCAAACCCCAGGAGTCCTCAACATGTTGACGCCCACCAAGACGCAGCTGGAGGAACCAGCCCCACCAAACTGCCCAGGACATTTTAGACCTGTTTGCAAGGCATATGCAGAGATGCGTGAGCTCTCTGCTGGTGGAATAACGGAAAAGGTCTTTTTCTCCAAGGGCTGCAGGTGGCCGTCCGGACCCGGATGGATTTTCCTCACCTCAAGCCAGGTGGAAACAGAACTCCGGGGAGGAGAGACAGAGAAAGGGAGCAGAGGAGGTTTAAAATAAGCAAATTAAAACAACAAAAACAACCCTCTAGAAAAATGTAAAAGGTAAGCTGAAAGTGCCCATGGAGTTCTCAAATATCTATCGAAGCAACAGGTTACGTCAGTGATGGCGAACCTTTTAGAGACCGAGTGCCCAAACTGCAACCCAAAACCCACTTATGCATCGTCGAGTGCCGGGTGGGTGTGGCCCATTGGCTGGGCATGGCTGCAGTGGTAACGGCATACTGGGTGGGATTAAAAAGTGCAATCAATCAATTCCAACTTTGCAAGATTTTTTTTTTCCCTGAGAGAAATTGAAATTGATTGACTGATTGAACCTTTTTTTTTTTTTTTGCATACGGCGTTGGAGGCCTAAAGCGAAAAGGTTTTATAAAACCCATTTGAAGGCCTAGGACTGGGGCGACAGCGCATGTGCCCACAGAGAGGGCTCTTAATGCCGCCTCTGGCACCCGTGCCATAGGTGCGCCACCACTGGATTATGTGATAAGACTTGTTCCAATATTTGGAATAAACTCATTTAATCTCAGGTATCCTCTATCTGGCTGGAAACAGAGTCTGTGAGACTCAGCAAAGAGGCTGCTATCGATTTGCTTGAAGTAAATCGGTTTTGAATGGATCACGATCGGGAAGTATTGCACTCATAAGACAAACCCTAAGCAGCGGATGAAAAAATAGTTGATCCAGGAGACAGTTAGAAGGAAAAAAGTCCTAACGAATCAACAGATTTATGCTGGCATAGTCTGCCTTGAAGTAGGTATTTTGATAAAAATTAAAAAAAAAAATTAAGACGGGCCTAGTTCCTAGTTTGTTACCCAGTTTGCATGGCAACACTAAACTGCAATGTGGTTTAGTTTTGAACTAGCATTATGTGCAAAGCAGGTCACTTTGCAAACTGTAGCTAAAAGTCCCGTAAATGTGGGGGCATTTTTGCCATTTCCCCTACAGCAAATGCAATCATCCTTCCAAACAGTGCTGTTGTGCTATGGACATTGCCTGCTGCACAAACATTCCTGAATTTCCAGATGTGGCAGTGTTGATCCAAATATTTTGCCTTGATGCTCTTGAAAGATTTGAAATGGGTAAAAATGGATTTCATTTTCAGCTAGAACTGATTTTGTCTTAATGATAAATATCTTATTGCTAATGAATATGATTTTTTTAAATTAAATTTATATGCTGCCATCTCACCACAGGCGACTGACATTAAAATATGAATATACTTATTAGACATATTTGATTATACTCAAAGATCAGAAGATGTGGAGAGGACCTGGCCCACAGAAATTGCCAAGAGTCAGACGTGATTTATTGGATAACATCATTTGCTTGTAGAAATAAGATAACCCTTATTGTCATTTTTTCACTGTGGGCACAACGGCACACATCAAAAATGAAATTTAGTTGCCCACTCTCAAAGTGAAACACATACATGACACATACCTAAACATACTATAAGGCAGGACAAGAAGCAACGGGTGGAAACTAATCAAGGAGAGAAGCAACCTAGAACTAAGGAGAAACTTCCTGACAGTGAGAACAATTAACCAGTGGAACCACCTGCCTCCAGAAGCAGTAAACGCTCCAACACTGGAAGTTTTTAAGAAGAGACTGGACAGCCATTTGTCCGAAATGGTGTAGGGTTTCCTGCTCGAGCAGGGGGTTGGACTAGATGACCTCCAAGGTCCCTTCCAACTTGACTACTATTGCTATATACAGACCCACATCCCTACATATACGTAGCAAATAAATATTAAATACTGTCCATCTTGAATATATAATGGAAGGAGGAAGTTTGAGAGTTCACAAGGTTAATGCTGTATGGAATGAAACTCTGGCTGAATATTTAGTAGTATTTTCATTTGTGTAATTGAAACTGATGCATTTAAAAGACTATGCAATACATATATTGATATGTAAGTTTTTTTCTTTTTTAAAACTAAAACAAGAATATTTTATGATATAACGGCACCCATATTGAAGTAATTTTTTCCTATATTATTTTGGGTGAGGGGGCTTTAAACATTCCGTTGATCCCACCCTCCCCCACTTTTCCCTTTGCGCTCTAATTTTGTATTTTTATTTTTATTTTTGAAGCCTAATAAAATTCTTAAGAGAAAAAAACCTGCAACGGTTGGCACCTGCCTCTAGGTCAAGGGTAGGCAACCTTGGCCCCTTCATGACTGGTGGACTTCAATTCCCAAAATTCCTGAGCCAGCATGGCTCAGCTTGGAAACCTCTCCATTTCCCCTCAGCACGGCTGGCTCAGGAATTCTGGGAGTTGACGTCCACGAGTCATGAAGGGGCCAAAGTTTCCCCCATGCTGGCTGAGGAATTCTGGGAGTTGAAGTCCATGAGTCATGAGGGGGCCAAAGTTTCCCCCATGCTGGCTCAGGAATTCTGGGAGTTGAAGTCCATGAGTCATGAGGGAGCCAAAGTTTCCCCCATGCTGGCTGAGGAATTCTGGGAGTTGAAGTCCACGAGTCATGAGGGGGCCAGTTTCCCCCATGCTGGCTGAGGAATTCTGGGAGTTGAAGTCCATGAGTCATGAGGGGGCCAAAGTTTCCCCCATGCTGGCTGAGGAATTCTAGGAGTTGAAGTCCATGAGTCATGAGGGGGCCATAGTTCCCTCATGGTGGCTCAGGAATTCTGGGAGTTGAAGTCCATGAGTCATGAGGGGGGCATAGTTCCCTCATGGTGGCTCAGGAATTCTGGGAGTTGAAGTCCACAAGTCATGAGGGGGCCAAGGTTTCCCCCATGCTGGCTCAGGAATTCTGGGAGTTGAAGTCCATGAGTTATGAAGGGGCCAAGGTTGCCTACCCCTGCTCTAGCTGAAAGTCGTAAGTGGGATCCTGAGAACTGCCCCCAACTCAAAAAAAAAAAAAAAAAAGCCAATGAAAGATACAGAAAGAAGAAAGAGACAATCAGGAAAATGCTATAAACATTTTATTTTATTTTTTGTAGAAAGTATTTCCAGAAAAACAGACAAGAAAATAATTTGGATGATTTATTTATACTTTTAATAAAAACCTTTACATAATCTTCATGCGTAACGACTTTTCTGGCACCCCCCCCCCATCAAGACACGCAGTCAAGCACACATGCACACATGCCCCCCCATCCGTCCCTGATCCAGCCGCAGCCCCCGCCCTGCCAGACCCGGGCTGAGGTTGTGCGAAGGGCTAAGCCGGTCCCCTGGGCGTATGGGGAAGGCGCAGACCCTGCCCCACGAGTGGACAGAAGGGCCCCCGGCCTCTGACTGTCCCCCTCCTCAGAGGCTGCCCTGGGCCCAAGAGGGGGAGACCCCCTTCCTGGGTGCGCGTGGAGGTCTCCAAAGGGCCCTTCCCCAGCCTCTCCGGCCAAAGCCAGGGGCGCAGACCCCAACTCCCCCGTTTGGGCTGACCAATGGGGAGAGGGGCAATTGAGAAAAGATGCTGCTGCCGTGCTGACCACCCACCGAGCCCCTCCCTGAGGAATTCTCCAGGCAGAGCTCAGCTGAATCAGGGACTATTTACACACAATGATCTCTAGCATCCCCCCCCCTCGAGTGAGCGAGGGGAGGAAGGGTCTCGGCTGCCACCGCTGCTGCTGCTCCTCTCTCTTCAGCCTGCCAAATGCCAGGCCAGCGGGGGAGCGGTCACCACAAAGGGATTCTGCGGCAGCAGGCTTTATTGACACCACAAAGCGCTTGGGGTGGGAGAGGAGGGGGGCTCACAGGGGTCCCACCGCAGAGCCGGGCCTTAAGCTTCCTGCACCCCCCCTCCCTCCCTAGCTAGATGGCAGTAGTCGTGGGGCGCCCCAGAGCAGGAAGGAAGGAAGGAAGGAAGGCTGCGTCCCGTAACCACCCCCCACGCTGGGTCCAAAGGGGCGCCCGATGGTGTGGCAGTCCGGCACCCCAGACTGGCAGGCCGGGCGGCTTCACTGGGCCACCACCATCAGTTCCCGCAGGTAGGACTGGGTCAGCCCGCGGAGTTCCTCCAGCGCGTAGTCTTCCGGCATGGGCAGCCGGCCGATGTGGGGGGCCAGCAGGCGCAGCGGGACTCTCTGCACGTCGGGGGTGGCGCCGGAGGCCGAGTCCGGAGGGTGCTGCAAGCTCAGCACCACACGGAGGATGTCTGCGTTGCGCTTGGCCATCTCTGCGGGGTAGAGGAAGCAGGGGGCGGCTGGTCAGTCCAGAGGTGGGAAAAGACCCGGGTCTTTCCAGCCGTCTGCAACGGATTGCGGGCAGGACAGTCCCTCTGCCCCTCCGCTGAGTGGGGGGGGGGGACAGGTGCTTAGACCCAGGGATTCTGGGCAACTTCCCAGGAGAAGAGGGATGCCCTGGATGGGGAAAGGAGGGCGGGAGTGCTTGAACCAGACATAGGGAAAGCCTCACCAAGGGGACGGGGAGCAGCCAGAAGGGAGTGGTCTGCTTGTCTGCCTGCTTACCTACCATCTACCATTGGTCTATCCTTCATCCATCCGTCCGTCCGTCCATCCATCCGTCTGTCCGTCCATCCATCCAGCTATCCACCCACCCATCTATGCAAACATCCATCCATCCATCCATCCACCCTATTTCTATAGTCACCCATCTTTCCACTCACTGTGGGCAACTCCCAATTCTAAATTAAAAGGCAGATGAAACTGTATTAAAGCTATAAAACTCAGCCGATTAAAAAAGCAGGTGCCAAAATGAGTTCTAAAGTTTGATCCTCTAGTCTAGCACAAACAGCCCACTCCTGCAGGGGTTTCTCTGTATTAATAGCAATAGCCACAGCCCTTAGACCAGACATGCCAAACACAAGGTCTGGGGCCGGATGCGGCCCGCGAAGTGGCTTCATGTGGCCCGCGAAGCCATCCTGGAAACAGTGAGGGAACGGCCCCTGCTGCCTTGGCCCTGGCCCAGGCCGGACGGGAGCCAATGTACAATTTTGTGGTGGCCATCTTGGCACTTGCCCCAGTGGACCATGCCTTGGCGCTTGCCCCAGTCCCACCCCCTTCTGCCAGAGACCCTCAGATCTGTCCCATTCCTGCCCAGGCCCCCACAGGCACCCTTGACGCGAACGATGTAGAACTGGCCATGCCCACTCGGTAGGCCCCACCCACTCCATCCACTCAGTAGGCTGCACCCACTCTGGCCATCCCCCCCCCCCCAGGGCAACCACAATGCTGATGCGGCCCTCAGTGAAATTGAGTTTGACACCCCTGCCTTAGACTTATAAACCACTCCACAATGCTTTACAGCCCCCTCTAAGCTGTCAGCATGTGGCCCCCCCCCAACAACCTAGGTCCTCATTTTATTGACCTCGGAAAGACAGAAGGCTGAGTCAACCTTGAGCCGGATCGAACTGTGGAAAGCCGGCAGAAATAGCCTGCGGGGCTGCATTCTGGGCTTGTAACAATTCCTGACTCAAAGTGGGCCTTCAGGGGCTGCCCAGACCCGGGAGGAGAGCAACCCCCGTGGGCCATCCAGCATCAGTTTTGTAGCCCCAGCTTCTGGGGGTGGAAGTTGCCCCACTTTTCCTTTTGTGACCGATTGGGGAGGAGAGCACAGGTAAAACGGGGACCTTGCAGAGAGCGAGCTGGCTCCCGTGCACTCTCCTCTTCATGGGAAGCCCCAAATACTCCGTGCGAAGCCCTGGGTGGTCTCTTGAGTGGAGAGGTCTTGCGTGGACCCCCCCTCTCAATCCAGCAGCACAAGGACCCTCCCCAGAAGCTTCGCTCGTGGGCAGGCAGGAGAAAGATCTACCCGCAGCCTTGTATTAAGCACGAGGAGGCCTCCCCCGAGCCGTGTCCCGTCACAGCAGCAGCAGCAGCAGCGCCCCCCAAAGACAGCGAAGGGCCCAGCCTTACCTGACTGAGCCAACCTGTCCTTGGCGCTGTGGCACTGGACCAGCTCTATCCGGCTGCAGAGGGAGATCACCTTGGAGTGCAGCTCTTCCAGCTCGTACCTGGTACAGTCCAGCTGGAAGCAGATCGGAGGGACAGTCAGCGGCCCGGTGGGCCCCCCGCCGCAATCCAGCCACTTTGCGGACCAGCCGCTTGGAAGGGGTCAAGAATCCCCGCCACCTTGGGGGGGGGGCAACTTCCCCGTGGCCAGCCTACCTGCTGAATTCTGTTGACCATCTCGATGACCTGGAGATAGTCTAAGAAAACCAGCCCGGCCGTGTCCCAGCCCTGAATGAGGCTGCAACGCTCAGGACTGGACAGGTCTTCCAAGAATCCCTTCAGGTAGGTGTAGTTCTCGTTAATAATGGCGTCTGCGGGGAAGGTGGGAGGAGAGAGGAATGGGCAGTTAGCTAGCAGGGGAGGACTTCAGCCCCGCGGAAAGCCACTGGGGAGGGGCTGTGCGTGCTTACCGGAGGCCAAGTGCCTGACCACCAGCTGGTGGCACTGGTTCCAGTGGCCAGCCTTGAAGAGGTAGAGGGCCTCGCGGGGCCTGTCGCCCTCCCTCCTGGCCCACAAGGCCTTCGCCTCGTAGATCCACGCCGGGGGGACGCACAGCTTCTCTGTCAGGAAGGCCTCCTTGTTCCGGGACTCTGGTAACTCCAGAAGCTTGCAATGGCGACTCAGCAGCTCCCGCACGGCCCTTTCCCGCATTCTGGGGAGGGAAGGGGGGGGGGTGAAAGACAGCTCCAAATACTTTCCACCCAAGTCCTGCCCACAAAAGGCAGCCTTCCCCAAAAGGGCATTTTCACGGCCCCTGGGGATTTATTTAGCACGTGGTTAAAAAAAAAATGTTTTAAAAGCACATCGCAATAAAGGAGAACCTTTGGAGCTCGTACTTGAGCCGTGGGGGTCCTCGGCGCTGTTTTCTCACAGATGTTTTCGTGACTCAACTAGGCAACATCGCCAGTGCTAGAAGGAAGGGGGGGGTGTTTGCTCCCAGTTTATATTTTAGTGCAGGGCTGATTCTCAACCTGTGGTCTGCAGACCCCTGGGGTGCCGCGATATTCTCACAGGGGGTCCATGAAGTCATGAAAAAATGCTACGGTTTAAATCTTGAGTTAAATCTTGGGGGTCCGTGGCGACAAAAAGTATTTAAAGCAGTGGTTCTCAACCTGTGGGCCGGGACCCCATTTGGGGTCGAACGACCATTTCACGGGGTTCGCCAAACAACCAGTCCGCCATTTCCCCCCCCTTTTCCTTAGCTGGGCTACTCCCTTTTATTCTATTGGCTTTTAAAAGCCAATAGAATAGACGCTCTTGAATAGAGTCTCATTCTATTGGCTTTCAAAAGCCAATAGGAATTGTCCAGGCTGTCTCTGCCCTGCTGAGCCCGCCAAAAGTCCCATTCTGCAAATGGGGCTGCACCCGTTGAGTAGTCCTCGACTTACGACCGGTTGAGTAGTCCTCGACTTACGACCGGTTGGGGTCGCGGCATTAAAAAGGTTGAGAACCACTGATTTAAAGGGAGCCCATGGTGAAGAAAAGGTGGACTAGTGGCTTGCCCCGTCAGCGTTGCTGGGGGTGGTCTTGGAGGTTCTTGTTTATTGCTGGCTTGTTTGGCAGTTTCTTAATTGGGGTCTGATGTCAGTTTTGGAATTTATTTATCCTAGGCCAGGCCAAGTCCAAAAACGCTAAGGAGTTTCTAGAAGCCTCTCGACAAACTAGCCATCGACAGACACACAGACGTAAGCAATGTCTACGCACTATGAAAAGGAGACAATCAACTGGTCAAAAAGGTCGAAACATCTCTCTGCCAGCAATTAAGTGAGCAATAAATGAACTCACAGATTAATGTCAGACCCCCCAGTCAAGAAGTGAACAGCACCCCAACCAAGGAACTGCCAAATAGGCTAATAATAAACAGCTCAAGCAAAGAACCTCTAAGGCCACCCCAGGGGAAGCCCCCGGAGTATAAACGGAGCGCAAACCCCGTTTCTTACCAGCAGTTAGTTTGGGTAACTTTTCTCTGCAAGGGAAGAACTGGAGATCTCAGCTTGGTCTCACCGTAAAAGGGAGTCCTGGGGCAGAATTTATCATTTTAAAGCAGTGGTTCTCAACCTGTGGGTCGGGACAACCATTTCCGGTTGGGGGTCGCGGCATTAAAAAGGTTGAGAACCACTCTTTTAAAGCCACTTGAAGCAGGAGTCTTATAGACCAGTGGTTCTCAACCTGTGGGTCGGGACCCCATTTGGGGTCGAACGACCATTTCACGGGGGTCGCCAAACAACGCAGTCCGCCATTTTCCCCCCCTTTTCCTTAGCTGGGCTACTCCCTTTTATTCTATTGGCTTTTGAAAGCCAATAGAATAGACGCTCTTGAATAGAGTCTAATTCTATTGGCTTTCAAAAGCCAATAGGAATTGTCCAGGCTGTCTCTGCCCTGCTGAGCCCGCCAAAAGTCCCATTCTGCAAACGGTGCTGCACCAGTTGAGTAGTCCTCGACTTACGACCGGTTGAGTAGTCCTCGATTTACAACCGGTTGGGGGTCGCGGCATTAAAAAGGTTGAGAACCACTGTTATAGACGATAGGTGGGCAACCTTGGTCCTTTTATGACTCATGGACTTCAACTCCCAGAATTCCTGAGCCAGCCATGCTGAAGAAAAGAGGAGAGGTTTCCAAGCTGAGCTGTGCTGGCTCAGGAATTCTGGGAGTTGAAGTCCACCAGTCATGAAGGGGCCATATAGTTCCCCCATGCTGGCTGAGGAATTCTGGGAGTTGAAGTCCACGACTCATGAAGGGATCATAGTTCCCCCATGCTGGCTGAGGAATTCTGGGAGTTGAAGTCCACCAGTCATAAATGAGCCAAGGTTGCCCACCCCTGGCATAGATCTTGAAAATCATGAGGAGCCATTTCCCCAAAGGCTATTTGGGCGCTGCTTTCAAAGACAGACGGTCCTCAACTCACAACCATTCATTTAACGACCGACTGAAGTTACAACAGCACTGAAAAAAAAAGAGTTATGCCAAGGTCCCTTCCATCATCATCATCATCATCATTATTATAAAGTTGCGGATGGCGGCCCAGAGCAGCCAAAGCGCCCGATCACTCACTGAGCGTTGTGGGTGTGAAGGAGGACGAAGACCGCCCACTCCCACAGCCCCTCCCTCTCCAGCTGGGCGGCGTAGCTGGCGTTCAGCACCCCCTGGCACTGCTCGGACAGGTGGGTGTAGTTCAAGGCACGGAGGGCTTCCCACAGGTGCCAGCTGAGACGGTGGTCCAGGGGGTCGGCGGTGATGCTGCGAGGGTCGAGCAGCTGATGCAAGTCGTAGCACCTGCAAGGGAACTCCAGGTCAACCCAGGGGCTGCTCTGGGCACCACCCGGCCCCTCCAAGGGAGGGCCCAGAACCCCATGTCCCCCTCCCAGACAGGAGACTGAGAGGCCTCCTCCCTCTTTGCAAATCTGCAAAGAGCAGAGCTTCACTGGGCTGCTCAGCTATAATAAACCGGACGAGAATTAAGGAGAGCTGAACATGGGATGAGAGACGCTCGGATGTGGCGGTTAAGGCCCCAGACTAGAAATGGCGAGATATATTCAAGATTTAGGGCAGGGGTGGGCAACTACGGCCCCTTTACAACCAGTGGATTTCATGGCTGGCTCAGGAATTCTGGGAGTTGAGGTCCATTTCTAGTCTGGGGCCTTAACCGCTACTGTCAACGCTGCCAACATCAGATGTTTTGCATTGACAACAGATGGAAATGTAGCCATCTTTTTCTCTTTCGTTTTTAGAGTTAGATGATGCCGGGAAGGAGGGTGTGTGTGTGTAACTGGGAGTCCAGCTGGACATAACAACACTAAACGTAGCCTGAGAATCAAGGTTATTGAGCCCAGAGCTGATAAGGAATTGGCGGGCTGGAGACTGGAGAGGAAGCCTGCGTTTCAAGCTAATTGGGGAATGTGATTTATGACTGTTAATTGGAGGAGGGAATTGTCCTTTGATACTATGTGGCCCAGGGGAGGGGAATTCAGTTTTTGGCTTCGATTATGCAGTGCCAATATCATGCTACTCAAAATAAAAGATTCTTTAAGGTAAACAATGCCTCGAAGTTCTTTCGAAGAGTTTCATCTGTCAGAACCATGACACGCTACACCCAAGCGTCTCTCGTTCCAAGTTCAGCTCTCCTTAATTCTTACCCGGTTTCATTGGCCGGGCAGTCCCGTGAAGCTGAATCTGGGTCAAACCGCTTCCAATGAGCTGGCCACGAACAAAGCAGGGACTAGTTCAGGCAGTGACTAGTCAAAAATAGTCAAAAATAATAAATAACAATTTCTGAATTGGGGACCACAGGAGAGCAAGGCGAGCACAGGAGGGAGAAGAGAGGGGAAAAAAAGAGGGACCCCCCCCCGTGTTGCTTTCTCTGTCCCATTGCCAGCAGTTAACATATGCAAAAATCCACCCGGGGATGTGGGACTTCAGGCCTGGATGGGGGAGGGGGGAGAGAAGGAAACGAACGGGGGAACCTGCAGGAAATGCCCAGGGCTCTGGGTCTGTCCCACAAAGCCCCAGGGGAGAAGAACAAAGAAGGTACCTGTCACTGTACAATTTCAGCAGGTGGAAACACACGTCTCGCAGCGGGCGCTGGGAGTTGTCGTCTTCCACCACGCAGCCGGAGTCTTCTAGGTAGGGGGGCAGCGGAGTGCAGGCGTACCTCTCTCCATCTGGGGAGTCCTGGGGAACATCGAGCCGGTGGGAGAGGGAGATGGCATCGTTGCAGACAGAGCAACTCCCACCTACCAGCCATTTGGAAACCCGCCCTTATTGACAAACGAGTCCCTAACACAAAGAATGACACCAGACCCACACTCACGAAAACCACACAGGATGTCACCATCACACTTCCACGCAAAAAGCAAACCCAAACCCACACTGATGAGGCACGACCACAAACCAGAAGCCAGACCACAGCTGCATCATTAGCCACTTTAAACCCCTCCAATCCATACATGAAGCAAACTGACACCCACCATGAAGATGAGGCACGACCACAAACGCGAAGCCAAACAATAGCAATGCAGCTCACCATCTCACATCCCCCTGCAACTCAGACTAACCTGAGCACAACAAAGCCCCCACTCAAACAGAACACTCCCCCAACCAATCAGAGCACAGCCAACCCCCCATCCAATCAGAGCACAGCCAAGCTCCTAACCAATCAGAACACACCTCCACCCAATCAGAACACAGCCAAGCTCTCATCCAATCAGTTCATACCCCCACTGGCAGTTAAAAGGAAGAAACAGCTACGATCACACATTGCTCCTAGAAGCACGAAGCCGAAAACACCAGCCTGAAGATGACTAATGAGACTTCGTCAAAACGTCACCAAGACACTTCCAATTTGACGCGGGAGAAAACCCGAATAACCAAAGACCTACATACAAATACCCGCGAAAACCTCAGAAAACAAATACACATATATACATACATACACACACACACAAATATATATTGTTGTTGTTGTTAATTGCGAAGTCGTGTCCGACCCATCGCGACCCCATGGACAACGTTCCTCTAGGTCTTCCTGTCCTCTACCAACATATATATATATATATACACACACATATATACACACACATACATACACACATCTCTCTCCTCTCCACCTATTCTCTCTGTTATAACATCTATTATCTCTCTCTCTCTCTTCCTCTATCATCTCTCTACCTTTTCCTCTCTCTATTCCCTCTCTCACCCTTCTCCATCATCTATACACCTCTTTCTCTCTCTTTTTCTTTCTTATCTCCCTCTGTCTCTGTCCTCTCTCACACATTTTAAAACCACCCATCTCCCTCGTAGAGGGACCCTGGACGGTGTACAATAAAATTGTCACAAAACCTTGGAGGTATTCAAGCAGAGACAGGAACAACAGATAGCAAGGGACGGGTTCTATTCCATTCCCATCATCCTCAGCCAGTGGCCAGGAATGATGGGAATTGGATGCCTCGCCCTTCTGGAGGGCATTAAGTGAGAGTCGTTCAGCCAAACCCTTTTCCTGCTGCGACTGCTCCCTTCCCAGGGCGGACTCCCGATTCAGACGGGGTGGGGTCGTCCCAGCGGCTACCAACCTGGAAGGCAGCTTCGTACATGCTGAGGGCCTTGGAGAGGGGGGCCGTGGAAGGAAGCAGGAACCACAGGTGGATGCCCAGGGAGCGTTTCCAGTCCAGTTGGGAGCAAACGTTGATGGTCCTCTTCTCGGACAACTGCCACACCTGGGACAGGAGAGACCGGAGGCTGAGAAAGGGGCCACGGCCGCAGCGGCCCGGGAGGAAAGCCAGCGCCAGGCGCACAACTCACCGGCTTGCCAGCCAGGAGGCAGAAGATGCGCAGCCGCTCGTCCCGGATGAAGACGTCCGCTTGAAGCTGGTGCCAGTCGGCCAACTGCAGGGCCAGCAGCTCCCGGACCTCCTGGCTGCCCGCCAGCTGGGACAGCAGCAGAGACAGGCGGAGGTCCCCTGCAACGGGAGAGCCGTCGGCATCTCAGGTAGCCACCCTCGCCCCAGCAGCTTCTGCAGCGGCCCCAGGCCAGCCGGGTTTGGGGACGTCGCCGAGGAGGTGGGACCCCTAAAGTGGCTGCTCTTTCTCTTACGCGGAGAAGCTGAGGTGACCTGCTGGGTGAGGAGCAGGGAAGACGGGAGGGGGGAGCCTGGCCTGCAGGAAGGCCGGCATACCTGCGCCTGGATATCCCAAAGGTGCTTCCCGAAAGACAGCTGGGCTTTCTTGTGTTATTTTTTCCCCTTGAAAACGTTTTTCTTCTCATCCAAGAAGCTTCTTTAGTTCTGGAGAAGTCCTGAAGCTTCTTGGATGAGAAGGGAAACGTTTTTTGACTTCTGGAAAAAAAGCAGCTTTGGGAAAACCATGACCTGGAGCAGCGGTTCTCCACCTGTGGGTCGGGACCCCATTTGGGGTCGAACGACCATTTCACGGGGGTCGCCAAACAACGCAGTCCGCCATTTCCCCCCCCCCTTTTCCTTAGCTGGGCTACTCCCTTTTATTCTATTGGCTTTTGAAAGCCAATAGAAGAGACTCTCTTGAATAGAGTCTAATTCTATTGGCTTTCAAAAGCCAGTAGGAATTGTCCAGGCTGTCTCTGCCCTGCTGAGCTCGCCAAAAGTCCCATTCTGCAAACGAGGCTGCACCAGTTGAGTAGTCCTCGACTTACGACCGGTTGAGTAGTCCTCGACTTACAACCGGTTGGGGCGGGGTCACGGCATTAAAAAGGTTGAGAACCTGGAGGATGGAGGACCTCTGCAGACACTTTACTTTACTTGCATAATGCTGCATGCAATCCCCCCTCAGGTAAACCACCGAGGAATTGTCTCACCCCAATGCGATTGGACACCCCTCCCCCCCAGGCCAGCAGAAAGAGCCTGCTGCAGACCCCATCCGTCAAGGAATTCCGGTGGCTCCCACTCTCTGGAGTACCTCACCCCTTTGGGGTGAGAGGCGCCCCTGCCCTCTTGGTCATCCACAGGGGCCTTGAAACTTGGCAGGCCCTACTTTGGAGGTGGTTAGTGGGTCAGTAGTATGCTGGGTTTCATTTATTTAATCTCCATTTATTTTAATGCTTATTGCACAGCCTGCCATGTGCTCAGACTGGCCTTGGCATTTTGTCTGCCTGCCGAGTCCTTCGCAAGGACCAGAGACAGGCAGATGTGGATGTTTGATGGTGCTAGAAGTCTCGGCACAGGATGTAAGCTCTTCCACGTAAAGCTGACTTTTGCAATTGACTCCTCTTTTCTCATTTTTCTATGTGGTTTTTATAAAGCAAGTAATTAAATTGATACACCATGCGGTCAAACATGTTTACAACCTGCTGAGTCATTTGACAGCTTGGCATAGAGCCGTATGCAACAGCACTTAGACTTACCTACAGTCTCATAGTGCTTTATAGCCCCCTCTGAGCGGTTTACAGAGCCAGCCTATTTGCCCCCAACAATCTGGGTCCTCATTTTACCGACCTCGGAAGGACGGGAGGCCTAGTCAGCCTTGAGCCGGTCGGGATCGAACTCCTGGCAGTGGGCCGAGTTAGCCTGCCAGGCTGCATTCCAACCACTGCACCAACACGGCTCATAAATATAAATTGAATAAATTAAAATGTAATAAATTAAATGTGTCCTCTTGTTGTTCCTCTAAGCCAGTGTTTCTCAATCTTGACCATTTTAAGGCATGTGGACTTCAACTCCCAGAATTCCACAGCCAGCAATGCTGGCTGTGGAATTCTGGGAGTTGAAGTCCACATGCCTTAAAATGGTCAAGGGTTGAGAAACACTGCTCTAAGTCAGGGGTGTCAAACTCAATTTCATTGAGGGCCGCATCAGCATTGTCGTTGCTCTCAGGGGGCCGAGTGGGTGTGGCCTACTGGGTGGGTGTGGATGGAGTGGGTGTGACCTACTGGGTGGGCGTGGCCAGCTCTACATCATTCGCGTCAAGGGTGCCTGTGGGGGGGCTGGGCAGGAGTGGGACCGATCTGAGGGTCTCTGGCAGAAGGGGGGGGGGGACCAGGGCAGAGCCCATCAAACCGGACAGGTGAAGTAGGCGAGGGCCATTTGCTGGCCACTTCCAGGCAATGGTCCATTTCTTCATTCCCCACAAAGGGTGACCCCTCCCCAGCGTGCACCCAGGGGGCGGGGCCGACACAGCAGGGGCTGGTTCCTCGCTGTTTCCGGACAGCCTTGTGGAGCTAAGACTGAATGCATTTCAGCATGGATGGCCACCACAAAATTGTACACTGGCTCCCGGCCGGCCTGGGCCAGGGCCAAGGCAGCGGGGGCCGTTCCCTCACTGTTTCCAGGATGGCTTTGCGGCCACATGAAACCACTTCGCGGGCCGCATCTGTGTTTGACAGGTCTGCTCTAAGCAATGAAAGAGGCCGGCTTGGGGGAGGGGGGGAGGGTCTTTTCTGAGGAAGGGGGAGGGGGATTGCAAAGGGCTTCCAATCAGAGGCTACGTTTTCTTCCTAGAAGCCTTGCAGATGCTGGACGATTAAAAGGCATATCCATTAGCCCAGAGCAAACCAGACAGTCAGAAACTAGATCCCGTGATCAAGAACTGGGGAAAGCCCTAGTTCAGTGGTGGTGAACCTATGGCACGGGTGCCAGAGGCGGCACTCAGAGCCCTCTCTGTGGGCACCCGCGCCATGCCCTGGAGATGGCAACCGTCCCGCTTCAAGCAGCCACCCGCTAACTCACCGAGGTCCCATGTGGCCAGATGCTTCCCAGCACAGCTGGTTTCCCTCTCCCCCGTCCCATCTCTCTTGACCTCGCATGCTCTCCTTTTCACCTCCTCAGCTGTTGGCCATCTGTCCAACTCAGAGGCGGCTTCTCTGAACTGCTGGCAGCTGGCTGCGGAGCCCCAGAGTGCGCCGGTTGAGGGGCTGGCAGGCTGTGGCTGCTGACAGACCTGTCGGCCCCCATGCGCTCGCTGGCCTCTGTGTGTGGGGGGCGATGGTGTCGGGCAGCAGCCGCCCTCGCCTTGCCCTGGGACAATGGCACCCCTGCCCTGCCTTGCCTCACCCCGCAGGACGAGCCTCCTGCCCACTGTCCCACCTGCCAGAGACCCCTGGATCTCCCCCAACCCTGCCCGGCCCCCACAGGCGTCCCTCCCCACGAGCAACATTGAGGTGACCACGCCCACCTTGGCCACACCCACCCAGTCTGCCATGACCACCACACCCTCGCCCACCCAGTGGGCCACGCCCACCTGGCACCCGATGATACATAAGTGGGTTTTGGGTTTCAGTTTGGGCACTCGGTCTCTAAAAGGTTCGCCATCGCTGCCTTAGTTTATCCATTTTATTTACTTATCGTACGCAGCCCGTCTCGCTAAAGGCGACGACTCTAGGGTGCTTGCAGACACTGAAGGAAGTGCATTACGAAACCAGAAACAGCAGTCTTAAAGATTTAAAAATTCAACTAAAGTAAAACTAAGCAGGACGGGGGAGGAGCAAGGTGGCCGCACCCAGGGAGGAGTGTTCTCTATCCCATCAGCCCCCTCCGATGCAACCCCCCTCCCAAAAAGTTTGGCCTTCTCTTCTGGGAGACATTTAAAATGCCGCGTGGCAGGGAGGGAAGCTCCCTGGGAAGTTCCCGCTGGGATTTGGGAGCTATTTCTCCACCCAAGCGAGGACCCCCCACCCCACCCCGGGTGGTTCAGGGTACTGTGGTCCTCTTACCTGACTGCTGCGCCAGGCGGCAGGCCTGGCCGATCTGCTTCCCGGTGAGGTAGCTGAAGACGGCCTCGGCGGGATTGTCGTTCTGGCTGAGCGAGACCTCCTCCTGGATCCGCTCGGCCGCCGCCCGGGACAGCCAGCGGGAGAAGGCCCTCCGGCGCCCCAGCAGCAGCTCGTAGTCGCTGGGCTCCTCCAGGCGCACCTCCAGCTCCTGCAGGTGGCCCCAGAGCGCCTCGCACAGGCGCCAGACCAGCGCCCAGGCCCTCGCCACGCCGCCTGCGGAAAGAGCGGTGGTCAGCCTCGGCGTGGGGCGTCCCTTTGGGGCCTGCCTCTCCCAGGGGCTTTACAGCTCGTTTAGTGACCTTTCCAAGTTACAACAACGGCACTGAAACAAGTCACTTATGACTGTTTTTCACACAACCGTCACAGGATCAGAATTTGGACACTTGGCAACCGGTTGCTATTTATGACGGCCGCAGCGTCCCGGGGGATGGGGTCACGCGATCCCCTTTTTGACCTTCTGAGTAGAAAAGTCGGCGGAGAAAGCCACTTCACAACGGGGTGGCTCGCTTATCGACCGCAGTGATTCATTTAACAACGGTGTCGAGGGAGGCCGTGGAATGGGGCAAAACTGACTCAACAGCTGCCTTGCTGAACCGTGGAAAATTTAAGAGTGCAATTGTAGTCGTAAGCCGAGGACTCCCTGTCCTTCCCAGAGGTCCTTCTGCTCCTCGCTGCCAGCTGGATCCACAACCCAGTTGCCCATCTAGGACGGGGTGTCAAACTCAATTTCATTGAGGGCCGCATCAGCATTGCGGTTGCCCTCAGTGGGCCGGGTGGGTGTGGCTAGGTTGGGTGCAGCCTACTGGGTGGGCGTGGAAGGAGTGGGTGGGGCCTACAGGGTGGGTGTGGCCAGCTGTACGTTGTTCGCGTCTAGGGTGCCTGTGGGGGCCTGGGCAGGAGTGGGACAGATCTGAGGGTCTCTGGCAGAAGGGGTGGGACTGGGGCAAGCGCCAAGACACGGTCCACTGGAGGAGCCTCACTGTTCCTCTCAGGACATGTGTGTGGGGGGGGGGGGCGTGCCTTGTGGAGCTAAGACCGAATGCGTTTCCGCATAGATGGCCACCACAAAATTGTACATTGGTTCCCAGCTGGCCTGGGCCAGGGCCAAGGCAGCGGGGGCCGTTCCCGCACTGTTTCCAGGATGGCTTCGCAGGCCACATGACACCACTTCGCGGGCTGCACCCGGTTTGACATGTCTGATCTAGGAGGAGGAAGGAAGGTGACCTTGACCGCCAGCTCCAGGCCCAGGATAAGGAAGGGGTGAAACAGGCTTTGGTCCTGAATGTCCAGGCTAACCTTCAGAAGCCGCTCAGGCGCGGCCCCTGCCAGGCTGACATCACCCAAGCCAGGTAGACCAGGCCAGGCAATCAGTGCCTCAGGTGGCTAAAAACGACTTTTATTGAGATTGGCTCAGAACAAAATCTCCATCTTGTTGTCCCTCCCTCCTGTGAATTAGGAGATGCCTTTCTCAGCCACTTCTGGTTGTTACCTGGAAATTCTGGATTTCAAAGATATTCTAGACCAGCGGTTCTCAACCTGTGGGTCGGGACCCCATTTAGGGTCGAACGACATTTCACGGGGGTCGCCAAACAACGCAGTCCGCCATTTTTCCCCCCTTTTCCTTAGCTGTGCTACTCCCTTTTATTCTACTGGCTTTTGAGAAGCCAATAGAAGAGACTCTCTTGAATAGAGTCTAATTCTATTGGCTTTCAAAAGCCAATAGGAATTGTCCAGGCTGTCTCTGCCCTGCTGAGCCCACCAAAAGTCCCATTCTGCAAACATTGCTGCACCTGTTGAGTAGTCCTCGACTTACGACCGGTTGAGTAGTCCTCGACTTAGGACCGGTTGGGGGTCGTGGCATTAAAAAGGTTGAGAACCACCGGTTTAGCCTGTTTCACCTGGGCCGCAGAGCTGGCCTAGCTCCGCCAAGGTCATCTTTGTTTTCTAAGCAGCGGTCCCCAACCCCCAGGCCGGTACTGGGCTGTGGCCTGTTGGGAAGCAGGCCACACAAGCAGCAGGCGAGTGTGTGAAGCTACATTTGCACAAGTGGTGGGCATGTGCACGAAACCATCCCTTCTGCCTCCCCTCTCCCTCCACTGCAGGTCCCCAGAGCCGGAAAAGTTGGGGAGCGCTCCTCTCCGGGACCTGGAAGAGCATCCTGTTGACCTTCTGTAGGAAAGAAGGAAGCAGAGACTGCTCTGACCTCTTGGCAGATGGCCCTTGTTCCCAGGGTCCAAGCCAGACAGGAGAGCCCGCATCCTCCTTCCCGCCCGCAGCTCTTGGGAGGTCCTGGCAGCGGCTGACATCCCAGAGTCCTCCCACCGCCCCCTCCCCTTCTTCACGAGCCCCTCACCTTCCTGTTCTTCAGCGTCTTCACACGCCTCCGAGGCCCAGGCCGCATAGTCATGGATGGCTGCCACGCCGGGGTTGGGGGCCAGCAAGGGGCAGGGGTCATCCAGGTGGACGGTGCTGTGTTTCAGCTTGATCTCTAACGGGAGGAGGTAGACGCCGAGGTCGGCCGACTTGCCTTCCAAGGTCAGCTTCTCCAGGTGGACCTTGAAGGGGGACTCGGAGACCCTGTGAAGGTCATCAGGCAGACAGAAAGGGGGAGGGGGGAATCAAAGGCTGCCCCTTCCAACCTTCCCTGCTGCAGAGAATTTGGGGGGGGGGGGCTGAGGGACAAACTCTACCCCATGCAGAGAGACCCCCATCGAAGCAGGTTGGGAATGCCCAGCGTGGGACATTCAGACCCCCCCCCACCCCCTTCCTTAGTTCGCTTTCCAAGAGCACAGAGGACCAGCCACTTGGTTTTGCTTTGCTTTACTTTGCAAAGAGGTCTTGGACAAAAATACGTACTTGGCTAGAAAAGATGTTGGGAAAAACACGTACATTTTAAACCTGAGCTTTTTTTTTTATTAGGTATAATGCCAGAAAAGATTGATAAACGAAGTATATGGACTTGATTCCACACGTGGTAACAGCGGCAAGAATCATATTTGCACAAGACAGGAAAAATGAAGAAATGCCCGCAGAGGAAGAGATAATTAAAAAAAAAAAAATACTAGAATGTGCGGAAATGGTGTGAAAGTATTCTGTTTCTTCTTTTTCTTTCAAGCTCAAACTTGGGACTTATTTTACCAATGGCTGGGGAAAAGAATGAAGGATTAGGAATTAAATTTGTATTAGTGCAGTGTTTCTCAACCTTGACCATTTTAAGGCATGTGGACTTCAACTCCCAGAATTCCACAGCCAGCATTGCTGGCTGTGGAATTCTGGGAGTTGAAGTCCACATGCCTTAAAATGGTCAAGGTTGAGAAACACTGTATTAGTGAATGATAAACTCAGACAACACGTTTGTTGAAAAAGTACTACTGAATTGTATGAAAAAATTAATAAAAACCTTATTTAAAAAAAAAAAAAGACCAGCCACTTGGGAAGAGCATTTGGGTACCCATCGCTCTCTCCCCACAACCAAGCCCAACATTTCTGGTGTTAAGTGGGGCAGCTGCTAAGCGAATTCTGTCCCACTTTACGACATCTCTTGCAGTTGCTGTTAAGTAGGTGGCGCAGCAGTGAGAGTGCAGTACTGCAGGCCACTTTAGCTGACTGTGTTCAGCAGGTCGGCGGTTCAAATCTCACCGGCTCAAGGTTGACTCAGCCTTCCATCCTTCCGGGGTAGGTAAAATGGGGACCCAGATTGTTGGGGGCAATGTAAATATATATATATACATTGCTTACTGGTGTACACCGCTTAGAGAGTGCTTGCACTTAAAGCGGTAGATAAGTCTCATAAATAAATAAATAAATCACTGCAGCTGTTCAGTTAGTAACATGGTTGTGAAGTGAATTGGGCTACCCCCACTGCTTGTCAGACAGTCGCAAAAGGGGATCACGTGACACCCCCCAGGACGCTGCAGCCGTCGTAATTACCAGTCAGCTGCCAAGCGTCCGAAATTTGATCCGGGTTCACGAAGATGCTGCCAACAGCCGTGTGAAAAACAGTCACGGGTCACTAACTTTGAACGGTCACTAAATGAGCTGTCGTAAGTCGAGGACCACCTGGAGGAGAGAGCTGCCACTGTCCGCAAGGGCAGGCGCAGAGAACCGGGGAAGTGAGGGCCCTTTAGGCAGCCTCCCTCTCGGCAAACTCCAATCCAGGCAGAATGTCAGAGCCCACTTCAAAACCTCATGCAAAAGTGTTAGAACAGTGGTTCTCAACCTTTTTAATGCTGTGACCCCAACCAGTCGTAAGTCGAGGACTACTCAACCGGTGCAGCACCGTTTGCAGACTGGGGCTTTGGGCGGGCTCAGCAGGGCAGAGACAGCCTGGACAATTCCTGTTGGCTTTTGAAAGCCAATAGAATCGGACTCTATTCAAGAGAGTCTATTCTATTGGCTTTCAAAAGCCAATAGAAGAAAAGGGAGTAGCCCAGCTAAGGAAAAGGGGGGGAAAATGGCGGACTGCGTTGTTTGGCGACCCCCGTGAAATGGTCGTTCGACCCCAAATGGGGGCCCGACCCACAGGTGGAGAACCACTGTGTTAGATCCTGCCTACTGGGGAATCTATCGATCTGGGTTCTGACACAGCCCCGGAGAAAGGGGGGGGCTCCTCCCTTTTCCAGGACCAATCAACACGTTTAGCCCCCCCCAGGGTCCCCCAAAGCCCAGCAGGAAATGGAACGGCCCAAAAGTCCTGGAAAACGGGCGGAAGAGGGCATCAGCTCGAGGTGAGGCCCCAGAGGGTCCCTACTGCGTATACGGGGGGGGGGCGCTTTCCCACACAACCCTCCCCTCCGAGATTACAGAGGAAGGACTTACGGCTTTGGCGCCATGGGGGCCGGCAAGAATCCGTACTCTGCGGGCTCCCCGTGATCCTCCGGCTGGCTCAGGGGGCCCAGCCGGTCCCCACTGTGGACCAAGATCCAGTTGGGCCCCCAGCCGACGCGGAAGGAGCGTCCCATGAACAGGGCCATGTCCTTCAGCAGCCGTCCTTTCCCATAGGCGACGGATTTCTTCAGGGGCACCAGGCCGGCCTGCCTGCGGACCCCCACCGTTTTCAGGGGCACTTCGGGAGCTGAGCGGGGCACGAGGAAGGCGGAGGCCAGGGGGGACAGGGCGGGCCAAGGCGGGGCGGGCAAAGCCCCACCCAGCGAGGAAGTCCTGGGACTGTGGCCGTCCTGGAGGGAGGCGTTTGGGAGCAGAAAAGAGCCGGTGGAGAGCCTGGACTGCAGCAGTCGGCTACCTGCAGACAGGGAGGAAAGCCTGCATTGAGGAAGCCAAAGGTGGGGCTTAAGGAACAGGAGCAGCCCCAGGGGATCGTGGCCGCTGCCTCTTCTGAACGGGTGGCAGGCACAAGGAAGCGGAGTGACGCCGGCAGCTGACCAGAGTCGCCGCTTCGTTGCTGCTTGCCGGCTTACAAGAACCTCGCCAGACCGACTGCCTTCTCTTGGCAACTGCCAGAAAAAAGGGGTAGGGGGATTCTGGGGGAGGCCGGGCCGTGCGAGGTCTCTAAGCAAGCCAGCCTTTTCACGCCTGCCCGCGTTCTTAACGGGAGGCGAACGAAGGCGAATCTGCCTGTCCTGGAATAATGTTGGAGGAGCAATCTGGGTCGGTCACCAGGACGAGAGGTTTCATCTTCCGAGCTTCTGGACTCCTGCTGAAGCCCCCCCCCCCATCCTCGGGGAGCTTCTCTCTGGCAGAAGGTCTCTCTAGCGCACGTTCTGCGTGAGCAGGGGGAGGGGGGGGGAACTATGGCCCCTTCATGACTCGGGGACTTCAACTCCCAGAATTCCTCAGCCAGCATGGGGAAACTGTGGCTCTTTCGTGACTCCTGGACTTCAACTCCCAGAATTCCTGAGCCAGCACGGGGGAAAGTTTGGCCCCTTCATGACTCGAGGACTTCAACTCCCAGGATTCCTGAGCCAGCATGGGGGAACTATGGCCCCTTCATGACTTGGGGAATTCAACTCCCAGAATCCCTTAGCCAGCATGGGGGAACTATGGCCCCTTCGTGACTCCTGGACTTCAACTCCCAGAATTCCTCAGCCAGCCTGGCTCAGCTGGGAAACCTCTCCCTTTCCCCTCAGCATGGCTGGCTCAGGAATTCTGGGAGTTGAAGTCCACAAGTCTTAAAGTTGTTAAGTTTGAAGACCCCTGAGCTATACTTAACAGGAGCTACCTGGGGACCACCCCATGATGATGACAGTAATCTTCGCTTAACCAGGCCACGGTCAGCCAATGTCCGATGTTATGCGGATGCTGAACGTGGGGCACTTATCCCTGGTTTTTATATTGTGGCCGCTGCAGGGATCCTGCAGTCGCAGGATCACCATCTGGGCACTATGGACACTGGCCCACCACGATGACTTCGCAGTGTCCCCTGACCATGCGACTGCCCTCTGCGACCTTCACCGCCAGCTTCCGACAAGCAACCTCAAGAGGGAAGCGGGTGGCAAATGGCGACACTATGCTTAAGAACATCACATCGGAAGTGCCGGAACTGCAGTCGCCAAGCAGCCAACTGGCCACGTGATGTCCTGCTTTATGACCAGCATTTCAGTCCCAATTAGTGTCCTAAAGTGAGGACGACCCAGTACAGAATGGCCTCCAAAGCACCCGCAAAGGCACAGTGACGATGTTGTTATCTGCGGAGCTCGATGGGGGGCTGACCGTACCTGTGGGGCGGCCCTTCCATCCTCGTGAGGAGGAGATGGGGAGTCTCGGAGAGCAGATCTTCTGCGAAGGCTCCTTTTCTGCAGCCTGCTTGCCAAACTGGCGCTCCGCCATCCAGTCCAGCTCTTCCTCATCCGCCAGCAAAGAAGCCTTCATGATCTGCAAAGAAGACCCAGAACATACGAGGAACGGTTGCTGGAATTGGGTGTGTCTAGTTTAACGAAGAGAAGGACGAGGGGGGACATGATAGCAGTCTTCCAATATCTCAGGGGCTGCCCCAAAGAAGAGGGAGTCAAGCTATTCTCCAAAGCCCCTGAAGGCAGGACAAGAAGCAACGGATGGAAACTCATCCAGGAGAGAAGCAACCTGGAACTAAGGAGAAACTTCCTGACAGTGAGAACAATTAACCCGTGGAGCCACCTGCCTCCAACACTGGAAGTTTTGAAGAAGAGACTGGACAGCCATTTGTCTGAAATGGTATAGAGCAGAGGTACTCAACCTTGGCTTTTTTATGACTCGTGGATTTCAACTCCCAGAATTCCTGAGTCAGCCTGGCTCAGCTTGGAAACCTCTCCCTTTCCCCTCAGCATGGCTGGCTCAGAAATTCCGGGAGTTGAAGTCCACGAGTCATAAAAGAGCCACGGTTGCCTACCCCTGGTATAGGGTTTGCTGTCTGAGCAGGGGGTTGGATTAGATGACCTCCAAGATCCCTTCCAACTCTATTATTATTATTATTATTATTATTATTATTATTACTACTACTACTACTACTACTACTACTACTACTACTACTACTACCACTACTACTACTACTACTACTATTATAGCAGGGACCTCGGAGGTCTTCTAGTCCAACCCCACCCTTATACTACCCCAGACAAATGGCTGCCAGTCTTTTCTGGAAAGCCTCCAGCAATGGAGGCAAGACCAAAGCAAAGGTTCTGAACGTGCTTTTCTTGGGTAAAGAAAGAAATATGAAAAACCTGCTGAATATATTTAAATATAATTATAGGACCTGTTGCCTAGGTTTCCAAGGCAGAGGGACGGGAGCAACCGAAGGCCACCTTACTAGGGCCATGTGGAGGAGGACAAAGAGCACGCCGAAGGAGGTGGGGAGAAGGGGGGACATAAACACCCGCTGAGCCCTGAAGCTCCAGACTGGCCCACCTTGAGGCCGTTTCAGTAGGGAGAAGACCCCGGCTCGGACCCCCGTCAGAGCACAGGACAGCTCGAAGAAGAAGCAGTGCAAGGCCAGGAGATGTGGAAGAAACCATGTTCATGTTCTTTGCGTATGAATGTAACAGCTTATTTGGGCGACCCACGTCTGAAGCAAAACCAGCCCTCCGTCCGACACACTTAGCAACACGGCTGCGGTTCTTCCTCAGAGGTCTCAGGGACAACCCCGGATTCCAAAAGCAAACCACATTTTACTTTTTTTAGGCTCAAATACCAGACGATCCTTAAGGCACCTTTGTTCAGCAACTGTGGCTGACAATGGAATATTTGGGGGTGCAGAAAGGACACTGGATACAGGGAGTCCTCGACTTACGACCACAATTGAGCCCAATGTTTCTGTTGCTAAGCAAGACGCTTGTTAAGTAGGTTTTGCCCCATTTCACGAACTTTTTTTTTGCCACGCTTGTTAAGTGAATTACTGCAATTGTTAAATTAACGATACATTTGTTAAGTGAATCTGGCTTCCCCATGGACACTGCTTGTCAGAAGCAAAGCCGAAGCAAAAAGGGAAGCGGACCCCCTGCCCCCGTTTGGAGGGATCCCCCCATCCAAAGGGACTTCCTGTGGGAAATCCAAGTCGTTTGGGGGGACAAAGTTTGGGGGCCCCTGGAGGAGAGCTCACCTGCAGCGTGTGAGGGTTGATGTCCAGGGAGGAGGCGATGTGGGTCGAGGCCGGCACCGGCTCCTGTTCTTCCGCCAGGTTCTCTTCCGCCATAGCGTCTTGCAGCAGCTCTTGGGTGACGTCTGCCATGTCGCTGTCAAATTCGACAACCTTCCCCAGATGGTCGGCCTCCGGGCTCTGCGAGGGTCAAGGGGTGAGGTAACCTTTGTGGTCGCTTTTTCTGCGAACACGCTGGCACACGCTAAACAGGAAATCTGGATGCCCCCTCTCAAACGACAATAGGTATGCATATATGAGTCGTAGTGGCGCAGTGGTTGGAAGGCAGCTGTCATGATTCCGACAGATGAAACTTGAGGCATTGTTTACCTTAAAGGATCTTTTATTCGAGTAGCATAATATCGGCACTGCATAATCGAAGCCAAAAACTGAATTCCCCTCCCCTGAGCATCTAGTATCAAAGCACAATTCCCTCCTCCAATTAACAGTCATGAATCACATTCTCCAATTAGCTTGAAGCCGGGCCCCAATTCCTTATTAGCTCTGGTTACAATAACCTTGATTCTCACCCTAGGTCTAGTGTTGTTGTTATATCTAGCTGGACTCTCGTTCAGATCCCCCCTCCCAGTATCATCTAACTCAGTGTTTCTCAACCTTGACAATTTTAAGGCATGTGGACCTCAACTCCCAGAATTCCACAGCCAGCATTGCTGGCTGTGGAATTCTGGGAGTTGAAGTCCACATGCCTTAAAATTGTCAAGGTTGAGAAACACTGAAAATTTATTCTAACTCTAAAAGCAAAAGGGAAAAGATGGCTACATTTCCATCTGTTGTCAATGCAAAAACATTTGATTTTAGCAGCGTTGACAGCAGTATTGCAGGCTAATTCTACCTGCTACCAGCAGTTCGAGTCTCACCGGCTCAAGGTTGACTCAGCCTTCTGTCCTTCTGAGGTCATTGAAATGAGGACCCAGAGATTGTTGGGGGCTCTGTAAACTGTTTAGAGAGGGCTGTAAAGCACTATGAAAAGCAGTATATAAGTCTGCTTTTGCTACATATACACACACACATACGCATACATACACAGATGTATACATGTGCTGTTTACACACACACACACATATTAATCACTGTCCATTATGAATACATAGCAGAAAAAAGAATCTTCAGAGTTTACAAGATTGATACTATATGGTACAAAGGTATTACAGGACCTGGATGTTCTGCTTCGGAGACCAAAAAGCCCCCTCCTTGAAGGTAACAAAGAATGCTGGTCATGAAGAGGGTGTGTAGTGTTCCAGACAATACAGCGAAGCCTGGCCAAGCAGCGTTTACAGGCCACGTCCTGGATGGATGGAAGGGAACTTCCAACCATCTTTTCTGCCCTCCTCACCCTTCTTTGCACAGACTTCCTGTGTTTCCAAACGAGACAGGGATCCAAGATTAGCAGCCCTGGGGCTCTCTGGGAGGTCCACATGGTGCCCAGGCCCCTGTCCAGTTCTAGATTGAGCCAAGGACCCCAACCTATGAACCTGCTGAGCTGGCAAAGGCTCCCTTTCTCCACGCCCAGAAACAACGTCGTGGTGCAAGGCCACCAGGTACAGGGCTGTGCTGCTACCATGTTTTAATAGAAGAGAATATGTGTAATTCAGGATTAAATTGTCTGGTCCTCGTGTGGTGCTCTCTGAGCTATTTTCTTGCAGACGTTTCATGACCCAACCAGGGAACACCATCAGTGCTAAAAGGGAGAGGGGTTTGTGGGGGGGGGGGAGGAAGAGGAGGACCTTGGTGGTCTCAGAGCTGGGTTACATTCTTGCAGACGTTTCATGACCCAACCAGGGAACACCATCAGTGCTAGAAGGGAGGGAAGCTTGCTCCCTGTTTACGTACAAGTGGCTTGCCCCACTCACTTCCAGCACTGATGACGTTCCGTAGTCGGGTCACGAAACGTCTCCAAGGAAACAATCCAGCTCAGAGAGCGCCAAGGACCCCATACCACAATGTCACTCTCAGCTCTGCCTGGTTCGGCTTGGCGCCTCATGGGCATCCTGTCATCGAAAGAAGAAGGGGGTGGAAGGATGAAAGGGCAATAAAGCTTTGTGTGTACATGATAGGACATCGGGGGGGGGGGAATGACAGGTGAGAAGGACCAGAGTAGCCAGATCCCGTTTGTACCAGCATCCTATGGCCAGGCATCCTGAGAAATATACGGATTACACACACACACACACAGACACAGACACACACAGACACACACAGACACACACACACACCAAACCCCTCAAGAGTTCTCAACACATCTTGGCAAGTTCCAGTTTTATTTATTTATTTATTTATGAGACTTATATACCGCTTTAAGTGCAAGCACTCTCTAAGCGGTGTACACCAGTAAGCAATGTATATATATATTTACATTGCCCCCAACAATCTGGGTCCTCATTTTACCTACCCCGGAAGGATGGAAGGCTGAGTCAACCTTGAGCCGGTGAGATTTGAACTGGAACCAACTGGAGTTGGCTGGAAACGGACTGGTCATGGTGGGGAGGAGGGATGGCCCAGAGGCATCCTTATTTTTCTATCCAGCGAGCACGGTAATTTCGGAGCTGGCTTGACTTTTCTGCGACCAACATCCCTAGTAAAAGAACCCTTTGCTTCAACCAGACGGAGTCGAAGGCGTTTCTCTCTTAAGAGATTGGATCGGGGCAGGTCTGACAGTCCCCGTCATCCACCTGAATGTCAAGGTCCTCTTCAGGCGAGGCGAGTGTGGAGAAGGGGACGAAGTTATCCAAATAAGTGCATCGGCTGCACCTTTTACGGAAGAGGCTGGGTGTGGCGGTCAATGTCACTTTCTTGCCTCCAGTTCTCTGGGGTGGGGCTGGGAACCCCAGCAAATGCCCTTTGGGGGGGGGGCAAGGGGAGGGAAAAGGGGCAGGACATTCCCCGGACAGAGGACCCCTTTCCAACTGGTTTGTGTTGGCATCCTTTGCCCTCTGCAGAACTTATTTCAACCGGCAACGTCAAGAGGGCACTGATTGCTTCCCTACCTTGGGAGGAGGTGCCAGCTTCCCAGGTGCAGCCATTTGGTGAGACATCGGCTGGCCCGGCAGGGGCAACGGAGCAGTTTTTAATTTCTTGGCCTCCACTTTGGCCAGGTTGTCCTCGTCTTCCTCATCGGAATCCTGCAGGCCGTACTTTGAGAAGTGGGCCACCTGGACGGAGAAAAGGGTTGCATTTTACACATCAGGAGAGGGCTAGTTCCAAGGGAACACAACGCCCTTCCCATCATTTCCTGCTCACTGTCATCACCCTCTGAAGATTCTCTAACAGCACGCAGCAATATGGGCTATTACCCTTTTCATCACCCTTATCATGGCACCCACGTTAACCTAGCTGGGTAGAGAAACGTTGGCAAGAAAACCCCCAAGGTCAGAGAGCACCAAGGGCCCCTACTGGCCTCCTCCTCCTCCTCTTCACAAACCCACCCTCTCTTCAGGCACCCCAAAATGCACGTCGGGACGCTCCTTCTGCCTGTTCCTTACGATTTCTGAAAAGAACGGGGAGCCTGACTGCCCCAGGGCCCGGGCTCTCGGTCTGCCTGGGTCTTACCTTGAACACCCAGGAACCGGTTTCAGGGCGGTACTCCTTGAACTGGGCTCCCTGTTTCCGAGAGACGGCTTCCAGCCGACCCTCGTAGTTCATCTCCGCCAGCCGCTCTGGGCTCTTGATCAAGCAGCGCGAGGTCTTGTCCGTGGGCCAAACCCCGTCTAAGGTGACTTCGGCTCTCCTGCGCGAAAGAGGAAGTTGGAGGCCTGGAATGAGTGTTTGTGTGTGTGTGTGTGTGTGTGTACAGCAGTGTGGCACAGTCTATCCCAGCTGGGGTTAAGACACATATAAGAATAAAAGGCATCCTTTGGCCCCATCTGCCCATCTCCAGCATGGATAGCGGACTAAGAGAAGGCTTCACCTCCACTCCATTGTGCAGGTCGTCCTCAAAATTACGACAACTGACCAAAAATGTACGTTGCTAAGCATAAGTGAGTTTTGCCCCATTTTGTGGCCTTTCTTGCCGCCGTCGTTAAGTGAATCACTGCAGTTGTTGCGTTAGGAACACGGCTGTTCAGTCAGTCTGGCTTTCCCCCCGCCTTGACTCTGCTGATCAGAAGGTCGCAAAAGGGGACACGTGCCCCCCCCCGGACACTGTGTGACTGTCATATATACGAGTCAAGCTTGACTTTTGATCAGGTGACCCTGGGGAGGCGACAATGGTCATAAGTGTGAGAAATGGCCACTGGTTACTTTTCTCAGTGCTGTTGTAACCCTGGATGGTCACTAAGCGGATTGTTGTAAGTTGAGGAGTATGTGCGTATTGCTTCCTTCATTAGCTATCTCATCGTCTTAATATTAAATTGTTTTAAACCTTTTATATTGCCATTTTTATCTTGCTGTGAGCCGCCCAGAGTCGCCCGATGGCGAGATGGGCAGGTGTCAATGTGATAAAGGGAAGGAATAGACCAGTGGTTCTCCACCTGTGGGTCGGGACCCCATTTGGGGTCGAACGACCATTTCACGGGGGTCGCCAAACAACGCAGTCCGCCATTCCCCCCCCCCTTTTCCTTAGCGGTGCTGCTACTCCCTTTTATTCTATTGGCTTTTGAAAGCCAATAGAAGAGACTCTCTTGAATAGAGTCTAATTCTATTGGCTTTCAAAAGCCAATAGGAATTGTCCAGGCTATCTCTGCCCTGCTGAGCCCGCCAAAAGTCCCAGTCTGCAAATGGGGCTGCACCAGTTGAGTAGTCCTCGACTTACGACCAGTTGAGTAGTCCTTGACTTACGACCGGTTGGGGGGGTCGCGGCATTAAAAAGGTTGAGAACCACTGGCATAGATAAAAGGGTCCCGGGCTTCACCTGTTCAGGCCCTCCCCGATGGGGGGCTTCAGTTCGTCATCCGGGTAGACGATGACCTCTTTCCTGCGGATGTGCACGATCTCGTCCAGGTTCAAGCTGGTCAAATTGACCTCGCCCTCGAAGTAGATGGAGCCGTAGCCTGAGTAGGAGAGACGGTCCCACCGTTAACTGGCCACCCTGGGCCCCTGTGGAGAAGCCACTCCACAAGCACTGGGGGGAGGGGGGACCCACAAAATGCAGGGGAAGGGCAGGCAGAGCTGGGCAGGTGGAGTGACATGTGTCTCGTTTACAATCACTGTGTTGCCAAGCCGGGCCCTGCCCCCCCCTCCAGCCTGTGAATTGCTAGAACAATTAACCAGTGGAACCACCTGCCTCCAGAAGCGGTGAATGCTCGAACACTGGAAGTTTTTAAGAAGAGACTGGACAGCCCTTTATCCGAAATGGTCTAGGGCAGTGGTGGCAAACCTATGGCGCGGGTGCCAGAGGTGGCACTCAGAGCCCTCTCTGTGGGCACGCGCACCGTCGCCCCAGTCCTTGGCCTTCAGCTGGGTTTTATAAAACCTTTTCGCTTTAGGTCTCTGCCGCCATGTGCAAAAAAGGTTCAATCCATCAATTTCAACTTCTCGCGGGAAAAAAAAAGATCTTGCAAAGTTGGAATTGATTGATAGACCTTTTTAGTCCCACCCAGTCTGTTTCCACTGTAGCCACGCCCACCCAATGGGCCACACCCACCAGGCACCCGACGATGCATAAGTGGGTTTTGGGTTGCAGTTTGGGCACTCGGTCTGTAAAAGGTTCGCCATCACTGGTATAGGGTTTCCTGCCTGAGCAGTGGGTTGCACTAGATGACCTCCAAGGTCCCTTCCAACTTTATTATTATTATTATTTGGATCATCGCACAGTCAGCCAGATGTTCAGACTGGATTTGGCATTTTGTCTACCTATCGAGTCCTTACCCAGGACCTGGGATAGGCAGAGGTGGATGTTTGATGGTATTACAGGTATCGTCGCAGGATGGAAGCAGTTCCTAGTAAGGCCGCCTTTTGCAATTGACTACTAGCGAATTTGTCAGTGCCAATGGTGTTCAAGTGGTGCTCCAGTTGTTTTGGGATTGCACCCAAGGAGCCTATCATTATTGGTACTACCCTTGCTTGCTTTTGCCACAGTCTTTCTATTTCTATTTGTAGGTCTTTGTATTTTGTTATCTTTTCCAGTTCTTTCTCGTCTATTCTGCTGTCTCCAAGCACTGCCACGTCCACTATCCAGACTTTTTTGTCTTTCTTATCGACAATTGTTGTTGTTGTTGTTGTTATTCCCCTGACCCATACCTAATGCCAATATGTGCCAGCAGATTTAAATAAATGCAAAGAAAATTTATTCAGCCTTACGAATGGTCCGGATTCTTTCGCCTGGCACCCAAATGTCAGCCATAGGTTGGCTGTACAGGCACCCAAAAAATCTTGCCTAGGAAAACAGCTTTTTTTTTTGGGGGGGGGGGGGGTGTTTGTGGATTTCTTAAGGGTGCCATTCCCCCCCCCATGATTCTAGGGAGAACGGGGGGGGGGGTGTCCGACTGCCTTCCCCTCCTTTATTCCAGGGAAGAATCGGTGGGCTTCAAACTTTAGGAGATTACCAATTTCGGGGGGATGTGAAAAAACTTGCATCAACCTTGAAATGCAAACTGTCAACTGTCCAATACAGGCAGTCCTTGAGTTAGGACCACCTAAAATTCCTGTTGCTAAGCGAGGCAGTTGTTAAATGAGTTTTGCCCCATTTTACGGCCTTTCTGGCCACGGATGATAAGCGAATCCCTGCAGTTGTTAAGTTAGCAACAAATTCCCCATTGACTTTGCTTGTCAGAAGTTTGCAAAAGGAGATCATGTGGTCCCTGGGACACACTGCGACGGTCGTAAGTATGAACCAGCCTTAGCCGGGAGTCTCAGCCGGAGCAACAGGTGAGCTTGCAACTGGGAGCTAGTAGAAGCTGATCCCGCCCACTCACCTTTACGGCCGATAGTGAAGTCGGTCACGAAGCATTCTCCTTGGTCATCCGTCATCTTGGCCAGCTCCTCCAGGGAGGGAATGGTGTAGTAGCCCACTCGTGTCAAGACAATTCCTGGAAAAATAAAAAAGTGAGTGAGGGTCTCTCCCCCCCAGTGGTTCTCAACCTGTGGGTCGGGACCCCATGTGGGGTCGAACGATCATTTCACGGAGGTCGTCAAACAACGCAGTCCGCCATTTTTTCCCCTTTTTCCTTAGCTGTGCTACTCCCTTTTATTCTATTGGCTTTTGAAAGCCAATAGAATAGACTCTCTTGAATAGAGTCTAATTCTATTGGCTTTCAAAAGCCAATAGGAATTGTCCAGGCTGTCTCTGCCCTGCTGAGCCCACCAAAAGTCCCAGTCTGCAAACGGTGCTGCACCAGTTGAGTAGTCCTCGACTTACGACCGGTTGAGTGGTCCTCGACTTACGACCGGTTGAGTGGTCCTCGACTTACAACCGGTTGGGGGGTCGCGGCATTAAAAAGGTTGAGAACCACTGGTTCCCCCCAAAGCCACACACAGCAATGGGGTCTCTGAATACATTAACCAAACACGGAACGTGCCTGTAAGGCAGAGATGGAGAACCTACGATGCAACGGCCGACATTTTGGGTGTAGGCCGGTGTTCCCCAACACCCAGCTACAATTCACCCAAGCAGGACTCTGAAAATGAGCTTGTTTTACTTCCATTTCATACACAGCACCAAATGTGACTGCATTTATTTTTTAAAAAATAAGTATGTAATTCTTTGCATGTAATAATAACACTCCCAGAGCCGACCCCAGCCAGTGCACAGAACGACTCCAAGAATCAGAGCAAGATCGGAAGGCGTGGAGAGAGACCATCCGGCCGGTGGGATCACCAAGGTTCTGACATGACTGAAGGGATAACAACGTCATCATTGCATGTAATAAATATGCAAACAATTGTTTCTCTTTTTTTGGGGTGTGTGTGTGTGTGTCTGTGTGTGTGTGAGAGACACCAGCAGAGTCAAGTTAAGCATTTTGTGCATTTTTGACCCTGAGCCCAAAAGTGTCGCCACGGTGCTTATAAGGAGCGCATCCTGTTCAAAGGCTGGTCCAGATTCTGCTACGGCGGTGGGGGTGGCGCGTGGAGGGGCCCCGGGAGGAGGGCATTTTCCAGGGCTAGGACCAATTCACCCGCTGGGTGCCAGTCAGGAAAACTGGCCTCCTGACAGCCACAGCTGGCTGATCCGGACAATGCTTTCTTTTAAAGGGAGATCTGAAATTTCACTGGTGGGTTTTGGCCTTTTGGAAGAGACACAAACGCCGGCAGAGATTTGGGCCACGAACCACAACGTGGCTTAGTTTTTAGAACGCCCAGCTGAGTCACTTGGAGCATCATCCAAACCAGGGTGAGGGAAGTCACGGGGAAGGACAAGGCCAAAGACTGCATCCCGGAAAGCCGCCTTTTCATTCCAATAAACACCAGTTTGGTCTGGGGGTTAAGGAACCAGGCTAGAAACCAGGAGACGGTGAGTTCTAGTTCCGTCTTAGGTACGAAAGCCAGCTGGGGGATTCTGGGCCAATCAGCAGGAGACGGGGAGTTCTAGTCCCGCCTTAGGCACTAAAGCCGGCTGGGTGACTTTGGACCAATCACTAGGAGACGGGGAGTTCTAGTCCCGCCTTAGACACGAAAGCCAGCTGGGTGACTTTGGACCAATCACTAGGAGACGGGGAGTTCTAGTCCCGCCTTAGACACGAAAGCCGGCTGGGTGACTTTGGACCAGTCCCTCTCTCTCTCAGCCCAACCCACCTCACAGGGCTGTTGTTAGGAAAATAAGAGGAAGAAGTATTAAATATGTTATGCTGCCTTGAATTGTTTTTGAAAAGACAACAAAGGTCGGATAAAAAAATAAAGAAACAAACTCCAGCTGGGTGACCGAGGCTCGGGACAGCCAGCCGACCTCACCTGCGGGATGGGCGGGGAGGAAGTGGTCTTCGCTCTCCTTGTCCCGCTCCTCCTGCAGGGAGTCCTCGTGGTAGGAAGCTTCCTCCGTGCTGTTTTCCAGCCCGTTGCGCAGCCCCGGCCGCACATTCAGGGCCACGAGGGTGTCGTCCACGCTGTTGCTGTGGTGCTTGTGCGGGGCGTTCTCTGGGGTCTGGGGGAGGGGCTTGGCGATGGAGTTGGCTAAGAACCTGGACATTTCCGGGCAGTAGCTTTCCTCTTCCTGCTCTTCGTCCGGCTGGTGGTTCTCATTCACCGACCTAAAGAGGAGATTTGGTCAAAGGAAGGCGAGCAGGCAGAGAGAGGCCCTCATCGCTACAGGAGCTTACTCTGCCGCGTCTCACACGAGGAAGAGGACGGATTTCTCCCGCCTGGGTTTTCAGTCCTGGACGATGCCTCTTTTGGGGGGGGGGGCTAGTTGCAGCGGAAGACGGGGGCATCTAATCTTGGCAACTTTAAGATCTGCGGACTCCCAGAATTCTCCAGCCAGCCACGCTGTGTGGACCGGTGGACTTCAACTCCCAGAAGACCTGTGGACTTCAACTCCCAGAATTCTCCAGCCAGCCACGCTGTGTGGACTTCAACTCCCAGAAGACCTGCGGACTTCAACTCCCAGAATTCCCCAGCCAACCACGCTGTGTGGACCTGCAGACTTCATCTCCCAGAATTCCCCAGCCAGCCACGCTGTGTGGACTGGTGGACTTCAACTCCCAGAACACCTGTGGACTTCAACTCCCAGAATTCCCTAGCCAGCCACGCTGTGTGGACCTGCAGACTTCATCTCCCAGAATTCCCCAGGCAGCCATGCTGTGTGGATTGCTGGTCTTCAACTCCCAGAATTCCCCAGCCAGCCACACTGTGTGGACCGGTGGACTTCAATTCCCAGAAGATCTGTGGACTTCAACTCTCAGAATTCTGGGAGTGGAAGTCCAGTTGAAGTCCAGAGATCTTAAATTTGCCAAGGTTGGGTACTCCTTGGTGTAGATTCATCTCCCTAAGTTGTGTAATCTGCCCTTCTGGCTGCTTTGCCCTGGAGAACACACAATTCCCAGTTTATAGTTATCTGGCAATGGCTGTGACGTTCTGAGCCCATGCAACCCAGTCACAGTGGGGAATGTCCAGAATGGAGACCACCGGCTCAGGGTCAGCGGCCTTCCAGTAGAACTGGATGCAATTCCTCCTGCTAAGGAGCTGAGTCCAGCAGGCCTTGCCATTTATTTTATCGGGGGGGGGGGGTCATTGGGTTTTGCACTGGGGTTTATTTTTGTAAGCCACCCAAGTGGGGCAGCCATATCAATTTTCTTAATAAATAAAGAAATTCAGAAACCACTTATCCCCCTCATAGAGGGCTCTGGGCAGTGTGCGAATAAAATATTTAAAAAGTGTTTCTGAATCTTGGAGGCTTTAAGATGGGTGGGCTTGGGGGGGGGTGTGTGGGAGAGGGGGATTATTTTATTGTAAAACTGTAAAAATTTTCAATAAAAAAAAAAGATGGGTGGGCTTCAACTCCCAGAATTCCCTAGCTAGCCATGCTGGCTGGAAAATTCTGGGAGTTGAAGTCTGCCCATCTTAAAGCCTCCAAGGTTCAGAAACACTGGATCAAAGCATAAAAACTATATATATAACCATTAAATAAGAGGCAAGGATAGTTCATATTCAACGTTAAAGGGAATTAAAAGGCAGGGAGAAAGCCTGCAGGGCACCATCTGCCCCATGTGCTCCTCCAGGCTCCCCATCCGAGGTCATAGAACTGTGTCTTAACCCCTTTTCAGAAGGCCAGGAGAGTAGGGGTCTGCCTCATCTTCAGGGGGACGGGAGGATATTCCACAAAACAGGGGAAAAGGCAGAGAAGACCCTTTCCCTGGATCCCACCAGTCACAACTCTTTAACTGGCGGGGTCTGCAACGTGCCTTCCCTGCCTGACGGGTGGGATGGGCTGATGTGAGGGGGATAAGACGGTTCCCTTAGTGGCAGCTTTATAGCTAGGGCAGGGTAGGCCACCTGGGCTCTTTTATGACTGGTGGACTTCAACTCCCAGAATTCCTGAGCCAGCCACGCTGAGGGGAAAGGGAGAGGTTTCCAAGCTGAGCCAGGCTGGCTGAGGAATTCTGGGAGTTGAAGTCCACGAGTCATGAAGAGGCCATAGTTCCCCCATCCTGGCTCAGGAATTCTGGGAGTTGAAGTCCACGAGTCATGAGGGGGCCAAACTTTCCCCCATGCTGGCTGAGGAATTCTGGGAGTGGAAGTCCACCAGTCATGAAGGGGCCATAGTTCCCCCATGCTGGCTGAGGAATTCTGGGAGTTGAAGTCCACGAGTCATGAAGGGGCCAAAGTTTCCCCCATGCTGGCTGAGGAATTCTGGGAGTGGAAGTCCACCAGTCATGAAGGGGCCATAGTTCCCCCATGCTGGCTGAGGAATTCTGGGAGTTGAAGTCCATGAGTCATGAAGGGGCCAAAATTTCCCCCATGCTGGCTCAGGAATTCTAGGAGTTGAAGTCCACGAGTCATGAAGGGGCCATAGTTCCCCCATGCTGGCTGAGGAATTCTGGGAGTTGAAGTCCACAAGTCATGAAGGGGCCAAAGTTTCCCCCATGCTGGCTGAGGAATTCTGGGAGTTGAAGTCCAGAAGTCATAAAAGGGTCATAGTTCCCCCATGCTGGCTCAGGAATTCTAGGAGTTGAAGTCCACGAGTCATGAAGGGGCCATAGTTCCCCCATGCTGGCTGAGGAATTCTGGGAGTTGAAGTCCATGAGTCATGAAAGAGCCAAGGCTGCCTACCCCTGAGCTAGGAGAACTGCATATGGCTAAACTGCAGCTAGGGCTATTTTTAAAAATGGCTTCTGCTTGTCACATAAAGGAACCAGGCAGAGATGGGGGGGGGGGCAGACGTACTGGTCCCCATTCTCGGGATAGATGGAAGGCGAGGCAATGTCATCCACTTCGGCACTGCCGGGAGAGAAGAGGCTGGTGCTGTTGAGGTTCTTCAAAACCAGCTTCTTGATGCTCTTCCTGGAGGAGAGAGAGAGAAAGAGAGAGAGAAAGAGAAAAAGAGAGAGAGAGAGAGAGAGAGAGAGAGAGAGAGAGAGAGAGAGAGAGATCCCATGAAATTATCCTGTGAAGCCAAGCCAGGGGAAAGCTCCCTGGTTGATTCTGATCTCCCCCCCCCCCTTTGCACTCGATCCCTGTTGAGGTCACGGATGTTGTGGTTCTCTTTTGGTAGAAGGCGGCAAGTGTAAAGAAGGACAAAGTCCTGACAGATGAGAATCTTTGTAGCTTGGGGCTGAACTGTGGGGCCCTAGATGTTCTCGGAGTTTGGTGGTTTTCTTGGAGACGTTTCATGACCCAACTAGTGAACATCCTCAGGGCTACGGAGGAGGAGGAGGAGGAGGAGGAGGAGGAGGAGAACTATGAGCTCCTTGTTGCTCTCTCAGCTGGGTGGTTTACCTGTGGACGTTTCCTGACTCAACTAGGGAGCATCCACAGTGCTGATGATCTCACCTAGTTCAGGGGTCTGCAACCTTGAGCAGTTCAAGATTTGTGGACTTCAGCTCCCAGAATTCCTCAGCCAGCAAAGCTGGCTGAGGAATTCTGGGAGCTGAAGCCCACAAGTCTTAAAGTGCTCAAGGTTGCAGACCCCTGAACTAGTTGGGTCATGCAATGTCTGCAAGACGACAACCCAGCTGAGAGAGCACCAAGGATACCTCAGTGTTGCTGGTGCTCCTTCTCCTCCTTCTCTCTACAAATTCCACTCCCTTCCACCACTGATGATGTTCCCTAGTTGGGTCATGAAATGTCTGCCAGAAGACAACCCAGCTCAGAGAGCACCCGGGACCTCAATTCCTCTCTTCTGACTTGTGGTCACTTATTCTGAGCAGCAGATTAAGTCCAGCAGAGAAAGGTGAAGGCAGGCCAGCTCAACTTCAGCCAGATCTTCCCAGGACATCCCGAGAGACGAAGTTTAATAAGAGAAGGAGAAGGAAGCACAGAAGACTTGGTCATGTCCCATCAACCAAGAATTCCTAAAGCCGGGAGGACGGCTGCAATAGCTAGTGGAGGATCAGGCCTGAAGTCTGAGAAAACGCTTTAAAAGTTACTGAGGAAAATCAAAGGAATTGTCCATGCCTGGGATTCAAAGGCAGATTGTTTAGCACCATCGCAGTCGACCGTAAGGGTAACAACTTCAAGACCTGAGGACTTCAACTCCCAGAATTCCCCAGCCAGCCTAGCTCGATGGGGAATTCTGGGAGTTGAAATCCTCAGGTCTTCAAGTTACCCTGGTTAGAAGCCCGTTGTCTGCAACAGGGATCTTCAAACTTGGCCCTTTTATGACTTGTGGACTTCAACTCCCAGAATTCCTCAGCCAGCGATGCTGGCTGAGGAATTCTGGGAGTTGAAGTCCACAAGTCATAAAAGGGCCAGGTTTGAAGACCCCTGGTCCACAATAACAGGGGACCCTGAAGGAGAACCCGAGGAGGTGTGTGTGCCAAGGGAGGATGCTACTAACTTGGGCATGAAGGCGCCATTGGTCAGGGAAGGCTCGTCGTCGTCCAGACCATCGAAAAGGTGGGATTTGGAAGAGCCGCTCGTCTGCAAGGCTTTGGGGCGCACGCGGGTGGCCGGGCGGGGCGTCAGCTTGTAATGCGTGGGCGTGGTCAGCGCCTTCTGGGCCGCCGGGTTGGTGGGCTTCAGCCTCTGGAAGGAGGAGCAAGCATTATGGGCTGGAAAGGCCTCTGTGCCATCCCTGCCCCTGTGTGTGTGAAGGCAACAACTGCCAGAACTGCCCCCCTCCCCAAAAAAAGTTGCTAGGTGGGCCCACCCAATGCCAGCCCTCTTGCTTTCCGTCTCAGCCGTCTTTCCAGGGATAACCCCCTCCGTGCCTCACCTCCTCCTTCTTCTTTGGGTCAGACATGGGGTTTCGGAAGAGCGGAGAGTCCCCGAAGGGCGAGTAGGTCAAGCTGTTGAGGTGCTGTTGCAGAACGGCCTGCTGGGCCGCAGAGGCGTTGGGATCCGTCAGAGCTGAGGGGAAAAGGAGGATGGGCAAGGATGAGCCCGCCGGACGCCGCTCAAGCGGGTGGGGCCAGGGCACCCTTCTCTGACAGCTGCAGGGACGGAGTTGGCAGCTTCAAGCAGGCCAGGAGGAGGGGTGGATGTTGCCCTATGGCAGTGTTTCCCAAACTTGACCATTTTAAGGCATGTGGACTTCAACTCCCAGAATTCCACAGCCAGTTGAAGTCCACATGCCTTAAAATGGTCAAGTTTGGGAAACACTGCCCTATGGGGCCACAAGCAGCTTACCCACGGCAGGCTGTGGCGCTCCGAAGCCCAGCGTGGCGGTCGAGGTGTTAAATCCAGGGGCACCAAAGGCTCCGGTCCCGAGCGTGCCCCCCAGTTTGGGCTGCGTGTTGCCAAACAGCGAATTCTGACCTGCATTAAGGGCTGCAGGAGGAGGGGAGGGAAAAGGGAAGGTGGGGGGGGGGGAAGCGACTGTGTGATCAACCAGCCATTGCCAAAGCATTCAAAACTTCCTCAAACAGTCCGGAAAGAAGAACGGTGTGTGTGTGCGTTTGTTAAGATCTCCTGGAAAAATGCTTCTACCGGCCAACACTGGTTTGGCCGGACTTTTTTTTAAAAAGAGAGACACAAGTAAACTTAGCCACCTTCTCTATGGTGTTATATCTGTGTTGTATCGCCACTGGTGGTGCAGTGGTTAAAATGCGGTATTGCAGGCTGACTCTGCCCATGAGCTGGAGTTCGATCCTGACCGGCTCAAGGTTGCCTCAGCCTTCCACCATCCTTCCGAGGTCAGTAAAATGAGAACCCAGGTTGTTGGGGGCAACAGGCTGACTCTGTAAACCACTTAGAGAGGGCTGTAAAACACTGTGAAGCGGTATATGAGCCTAAGTGCTCTTGCTCTTGACTCAGCCCTCCGTCCTTCCGAGGCCGGTAAAACAAGGACCCAGATTGTTGGGGGCAACATAGAAATAATGCTTCGACATTATAAACCTCCCAGAGAGCGAGGTAAAGCTCTATGGGGGTGGTACGTAAGTCCGAGTGCTATTACAACTTCCACTTCACTAGGTGTAGCTGATTCTAGGAGGGAAGTAACCTAGAACGAAGGAGAAACTTTCTGAGAGACAGAACAATTAATCAGTGGAACAACCTGCCTCCAGAAGCGGTGAATGCTCCAACACTGGAAATTTTTAAGAAGAGACTGGACAGCCACTTGTCTGAAATGGTATACGGTTTCCTGCCCGAGCAGGGAGTTGGACGAGATGACCTCCAAGGTCCCTCCCAACTTTATTATTATTATTATGGATCATCGCACATTCAGCCAGATGTTCAGAATGGATTTGGCATTTTTGTCTACCTATCGAGTCCTTACCCAGGACCTGGGATAGACAGATGTGGATGTTTGATGGTATTACAGATCTCGCCGCAGGATGGAAGCAGTTCCTAGTAAGGCCGCCTTTTGCAATTGACTAATGGCAAATTTGTCAATGCCGATGATGGTGTCCAAGTGGTACTCCAGTTGTTTTGGGATTGCACCCAAGGCGCCTATTACTATTGGTACTACCCTTGGTTGCCTTTGCCAAGGGTAGTACCAGTAGTAGTAGTAGTAGTAGTAGTAGTAGTAGTAGTAGTAATCATTATCATCAATTCCACAGGAAGGCTGAAACTACTTTTATTGAGATGGGCTCCAATAACATAATCTGGCAAGCCCAATTGTGCTGCTGCTGCCTCCTCCTCTTGGCTCATCAAATTAGGGAGGTGCCCATTGGGGCTGCTTCCATTATCTGGTCATGCTGGACTTAAAAAACGTTTCAACCTCTTTCACCTCTTCCCTGGCTTTCCCATATCTTCCTGGTCACCTTCCTGCCTCTGTAGATTCACTGTCAAAACGCTGACTGGAAGAGCCAGAGGTGAAAAGGGGGGGGGGCTTTTATAATACCCACAGATAAATCAATAGACAGCCAGGCTGTCAGCTAAGTGCTAAGACATAATTACTGTCAAGGAATGGAATCATAATTGGCTTCAAATTATCTGTTGATTCTGCAGAACTTGTTTTTTGGCCTTACATAGCAGAAACTGGTTTTTAATCTCTCTGTTTCAGTAAAATGGAACAAAATAAGAATGGGAACAAATGTCTGTTGAGATTCTCAGTCATCTAGTCCAGGGGTAGGCAACCTTGGCTCCTTTATGTCTCGTGGACTTCAACTCCCAGAATTCCTCAGCCAGCCTGGCTCAGTTTGGAAACTTCTCCCTTTCCCCTCAGCATGGCTGGCTCGGGAATTCTGGGAGTTGAAGTCCACAAGTCATAAAAGAGCCATGGTTGCCTATCTCTGAGCTAGTCCATAGTTCACCCAAAACAGCATGCTTTGTCAAGAGGCAACTGGACTTTCTTTGTTTTTCCCTGAAGACCTTTTGCTTCTCAACCAAGAAGCTTCTTCAGTTCTGACTGAACGGTGGAGGATGGATTTATATTCCTTGAGGGCATCTGCCTGTTAGCGCTCCCTGTGAGAATCGTATGGTCTGAGGCTACCTGTGTTTCATGATTACTGCGCCTTGCTCTGTGGCGCCCCGATTCCTGGCCGAACTTTCCAGAGAAGGAATGACGACGGGTCAAGCCTCCGGGCTGATAGCTCCCCAACCTTACCTGTCCCAAATCCTGCCCCGAGGGCTGGGCCCAGTGTCCCGGTCGCAGGCTTGTTTCCAAAGAGGCTGTTTCCTGTGGTGTTTGCATTGAAGCCTAGGGGAGAAGGGTTAGGGTCAGTGGCTGAGCTTCAGCCTCGAGGGGGGTAGAAAAGCAAGCCAGATTTGGCCAAGTCTTCTTCAGAAGACACGATCCTCTGAGACCCCAGGGCTGCCTCTGGCCCCCAGGAACGCGGCCGGCCTCGAGTGCAATTTTCAGCAGGGTGAAAGGGGATGAAATGCATGACCAGAAAAATCACAGGTAGTCTTCTAAAACAGCTGGCTGAGGAATTCTGGGAGTTGAAGTCCACAAGTCTGAAAGCGTCCAAGGTTGAAGACCCCTGCTCTAAAAGAATCGCTGTAAGTCAGTGTTTCCCAAACTTGACAATTTTAAGGCATGAGGACTTCAACTCCCAGAATTCCACAGCCAGCAATGCTGGCTGTGGAATTCTGGGAGTTGAAGTCCACATGCCTTAAAATTGTCAAGTTTGGGAAACACTGCTGTAAGTCAACGATTACCTGCATCGCCTATATAGGTAGTCCTTGACTTACAACTGGTCATTTATCAATCGTTTGAGGGGTACAATGGACGCCCCCCCTTCCGAGCTACTTAAGACCCGATTTCAAAGTGATAACAGCCGCATACGCCCACACGTGTAAACACATACACACACCCTGGTTATATGATGGCACTTGGCAACCGATTCACCCTTATGGCTGTTTGTAGCATCCCGCGGTCACACAACCACGGTTTTGAATTTTTTTTCCCCCTGGTTTCTAGTGTTTACTTCCAGCAAAACCCATCCTTGGGGTGAAATGACCGTGGCATTCACCAAATGGTTGCCATAAAAAAATATCATCAAATTGGGTGGGGTCTCTTAGTGCCCTGCTTAAAGATTGCAGGGACTTAGGACCGTCATTCTGAACTCAGTTATGGCTGTCGGCCTAGGTTCATTGAGACTTTAATTGTGCTTGCAGCTGTAAATTCAGGGAAAAATATTTAACCTGGGATCCCATCAAGTGTGAGTTCTAATCTGCCTGGCCACTGCGAGTGCCACCCGTGCGGCCCTGGGCACAGAGAAGAGGGGGCATGGATGGCCTGGCACCCGACAGGGACCTCCTAGCCCAGGGATAGGCAACTGAGGCTATTTTATGACTCGTGGACTTCAACTCCCAGAATTCCTGAGCCAGCACCGGGGAACTATGGCCCCTTCGTGACTCATGGACTTCAACTCCCAGAATTCCTCAACCAGCATGGGAGAAACTTGGGCCCCTTCATGACTCGTGGACTTCAACTCCCAGAATTCCTCGGCCAGCATGGGGGAACTATGGCCCCTTCATGACTCGTGGACTTCAACTCCCAGAATTCCTGAGCCAGCATGAGGGAACTATGGCCCCTTCATGACTCGTGGACTTCAACTCCCAGAATTCCTCAGCCAGCATGAGGGAACTATGGCCCCTTCATGACTCGTGGACTTCAACTCCCAGAATTCCTGAGCCAGCATGAGGGAACTATGGCCCCTTCATGACTCGTGGGCTTCAACTCCCAGAATTCCTGAGCCAGCATGAGGGAACTATGGTCCCTTCATGACTCGGGGACTTCAACTCCCAGAATTCCTGAGCCAGCATGGGGGA